ACTGCTGCGTCTGCCCTTGTCGGTGAACTCGTCGACTTTGCTGCTCGCTGTCGTCTAGACTACGCTGCTAGTCTTGTTGCTGAGTCAGCGTCTGACTGTCCTCTGTCCGTCGGGGGTGACTGTGCTCTTGGCACGGACGTCCTAGAGGACAGGCAGGAGGAGTTACAGTGTCTGGCGGCTGCTTCACCTCATCTCGCGTCTGTACTGCTTGCTCCTGAGGGAGACCCGGATGCACTAGACATCCCGACTCCGCGCTCTTACGCGGAGGCCGTAGAGGGTCCCTACTCCTCTCAGTGTCAGGCAGCTATGGATGCAGAGATGGCTTCCTGGAAGTCCACAGGCACCTACGTTGACGCAGTTCCCCCTCCTGGGGCGAACATCGTCAGTGGCATGTGGATCTTCAGGGTGAAGCGGCCGCCGGGCTCTCCACCTGTCTTCAAGGCGCGGTACGTTGCTCGTGGCTTCAGTCAGCGACAGGGAGTTGACTACTTTCAGACCTTCTCTCCCACCCCGAAGATGACCACTCTTCGTGTGCTGCTGCACATAGCCGCTCAGCGCGACTACGAGCTTCACTCTCTCGACTTCAGCACTGCGTTCTTGCAGGGTAGCCTGCACGAGGAGATCTGGCTGCGCCATCGACCTGGCTTCACTGGGACTTTCTCTCGTGGCACCCAGTGGAGCCTCCGTCGGCCAGTCTACGGTCTCCGCCAGGCACCGCGTGAGTGGCACGACACACTGAGGACTACGCTTGCGGCTCTTGGGTTTGCTCCTTCTACTGCTGACCCGTCGCTGTTTCTGCGCACCGACACTTCTCTGCCGCCGTTCTACATCCTCGTGTACGTCGACGACTTGGTCTTTGCCACAGCGGACACTGCTCGACTCGCCTACGTGAAGTCCGAGCTGCTGAAGAGACACACGTGCACAAACCTGGGTGAACTGCGCAGCTACCTTGGCTTGCAGATCACTCGGGACAGAGCACGCCGCACCATTACCTTGACTCAGTCACACATGGTGCAGCAGGTCCTTCAGCGCTTCGGCTTCACGTACTCCTCGCCTCAGGCCACTCCTCTGCCTACTCGCCACTCACTCTCAGCTCTGCCTTCGGATGAGTACGTAGAGTCGAGTGGTCCGTACCCAGAGCTTGTTGGCTGCCTCATGTACCTGATGACCTGCACACGACCTGACCTTGCATACCCTCTGAGCATTCTTGCACGCTATGTTGCTCCTGGGAGACACAGACCAGAGCACATGGCTGCAGCGAAGAGGGTGTTGCGCTACCTGTGCAGTACGTCGGGCATGGGGCTAGTGCTTGGAGGGCGGAGTCCAGTGGTCCTTACAGGGCACGCGGACGCTTCTTGGGCTGACGACCAGGCTACGCAGCGGTCGTCACAGGGTTACACCTTCAGTCTTGGTTCCGGCTCTGTCTCGTGGCGGGCTACTCGCTCGTCTTCGGTTCTCAGCTCCAGTTGTGAGGCTGAGATCTACGCTGGGGCCATGGCTGCACAGGAGCTTCGCTGGCTTACCTACCTGCTGACTGACCTTGGAGAGCCGCCTCGTTCTCCTCCAGTGCTGTACGTAGACAACAAGGCCATGCTGGCCTTGTGTCGAGAGCAGCGTCTGGAGCACAGAACGAAGCACATTGCTCTTCGCTACTTCCTTGCTCGTGAGCTGCAGCAGCGTGGACAGTTGCGGCTTGCGTACGTGGCCTCTGAGGCCAACACTGCTGATATGTTCATCAAGGCACTCGCGCCTTGTGACCATCAGCGCTTCTGCACCCAGCTGGGTCTTGTGTCTGTCTTGCCTCACTTGCTCTCCTCTTGACTTTACTTGTACTGTGACATATATATACCTGCTCTTGCTTGTCTAGTTTTATATATATATGTCTGTACTCCTGCATGTGAACTGGCCTCTGGCCCTGCTCTTGTGCTCGGACTGTGTGGTGACGTTGTGATCCACCCTGAGCTTGCTCTGCTTTGCTTTACTTGACTGGTCTTGTGACCCCTTGTTCTCCCCCACTTTGCCTATGGGGGTGTGTCAGATTTATATGACATAGTTGCTGTAGGCTATAGTGGGGTAGCACATATGGGGTACAGGGTTTCTAGGGTTGTATTTGTACCCAATCTTTCCTTAGTCATTTCATTCCTGTTCACTTGTTTCACAGTTTGGGCCCAAAAAAGTCTGATTTTAACAGAGTACACTGGAAAAAAAAAAATCTGAAATATCAGAGTTTTTTGTGAAAATCAGAGAAAAAAGTCTGACTTCGTAGGGCGTGACCTTTATGTTGCAGCGCCAGGTTCGCAGAATGAATAAGACACCAATGATATCGCCCCAACTCGTAGCTTCTTGCACGTTGGCCTGTTACAGGGGTTTGTTGCGAAGGTGATCGTGGTGGTTCGCCAAATTATGGAAAAGAATGGCAACAAAAATGTTGCACATCTGATGCGCGATTCGACTTGAAGGAATATTTCGCAATGGAATCTTGCCGAATTGGAGGAAGTGC